TAAATTTAAAAAATATTTTTCTTATATTATTTTCCAACAAGGAAGGAAGGGAGGACCTACAGGTATGCAGAAAGGAAGCTCTCGAGACACCGTCACCAGGATGAAATGGGATTAGCTTTGTAGTTTTTATAATCTTCACAGAAGAATGCAATCTCAGTTTCACTGGCTTTGATTTATGTGCTTGATGAATAATTTTTAGTTTATCATACTTACAATTTCAGAATGGTGGTGGCAGGCTGGTCCTCAAAGAACACCTTGCTTTAGAAATACTATAAATTCCTTTACAGTTTGGTCCAAATTAACTCCATGATACACTACAGGTTTGAAATTGCGATGCTCAAATGAACGAATGAGGCGAACTGTAATTGTCACCTCTTCAGCAGCCATGTGAAGAAATATCATTTTAATCCAGCAATTTAACTCATAGGCAGGCACCTTATGGAATATCTTACAAACACACAGAACTCCCGGCTTCCCCTGCGGCTCCTCCGAGCGCGTGCGTACTAAGGCTCCCTTGGGTTCTGACTCCGCTGCTGGAGGCGGGAACGCCCCCAAAGTAGCGCTGACTTCTGATTGGGTGCTGCCGATCGCCGGAGCCCCAATCTGTATTTTAACAAGTTCTTTGGGTGATTCAGCTGCTTGCTAAATTTGGGAACCTCTGGGTTAGAGGATCAGACTATGGGAGGTCTGAGAATCAGCTTTTGATTTGTCATTTGTTGCTCTCTCTGGTTCTTAGGGGCTACAATGATCTAAACCAATTGGCAGCTTTCTTACCACTTAGGGACTGTTGAAACAACCAAGTTGGGAGACCGTTTAACTTAAAAGTTCTTGGATCTCACATTTTGGCATTAAGATCGTTTTAAGAGATTTCAGAATCTGCATTCTATTAAGTGGGATATTGCCAACATTTTACTAATTACTGATAACTATAAAGACAAAGTATTGATGGCTCATGAATACTAAACTTTATCAGTCCCTGGATGCTTTTAAAGCTAAGAAATACTCTGACAACAGAAGTCTGTGTTGAAAATCTAAAACCTCTGCTGCTTGTTTTGATCCCTAGGAAAAAGCCTCTCAAAGTAGCTATTAGGGTAGGCTATTTCTCTGATGCAAGAGTTGCCTTTTACAAAGAAGACCTTCTGTTTTTTCCAACCTCTTTCCTTTTAGGCGTTTTGGAATAATGGGACTCTACAAAGGCCTTGAAGCGAAACTGCTGCAGACAGTCCTCACCGCTGCACTGATGTTCCTTGTTTATGAGAAACTGACAGCTGCTACCTTCACCATCATGGGGCTGAAGCGTGCTGCCCACAAGCACTGAGATATGGCCCGGGAAAATGCAGACATTCTTGAGATGAGGCCTCTCCTTCCAAGTGAAAAGAAGCAATGCTCCTTTCACTCTGGCTCCTTCCCCCGCACATGTGACCCTCAGTGGCTGGAAAAGCATGGAGGGGGAAACAGGGAGTACAGCCCACTGGTCCTGTGGCTGTGTAACTTGCACAATGGCTGGTTGGATTTGGCAAAACTTTTCCATCTGAAGTTTTTCTTAAAATTACCAGTTATTCTCTTTCCCCAAACTCTCTCCCAGGTTCTAGGACAAATTCAGTAACATAATTCTTCTCAGATACTTTTGTGTGTCTTAGTCTTGGTATTTTTCTCACTAAAAGTAGTATTTTGCTGGTGCCATGGGCGTGACTTTATTTTTATTGGGCTTTTTTTCTCCTGCTTAAGGGGAGTTAAATGAACTATTTTGTGGAGGAAATGAATATTAATCCCAAATTCTCTTGCAAACTATTTGTAAACAACACTATTCATTAGTGTTTGATATAATTTTTTAAAATATTTTTAATCAGGAGGCTGGGGATTTAGCTCAGTGGTTCTGCCGCCTGCCCTAGCAAGCGCAAGGTCCCAAGTACGATTCCTAGTACCAAAAAGAAAAATATTTTGAATCAGCTCTATTAAAAAATGCTTGAAGTTTTATGTCCATCCATATAAAGCTCCAATCAGTTTACCCTACTCCAATAAATTGTCAGCACAAAAGATGTTCTTGGAAGTTGTTCTTTATTTCTTTATTTTTTTGGTACTGGGGATCGAACTTGGGACCTTGTGCTTTTGAGGCAGGGGGTGGAACCACTGAGCTAAATCCCTCCCCCAAGCTGTGTTTTTTTGGTACCGGGGCTCAAACTCAGGTCCTTGCGCTTTCAAGACAGGTGGTGGAACTACTGAGCTAAATTCCTGGCCCCAAGTTGTTCTTTATTGAGGTGTATAACCAGATGGCAAAAATCACCAAAAGGTAGGGAGAGGACATGCTTGTTATCTCAGCTACTCGGGAGGCTGAGGCAGGAGGATTACAAGTTCAAGGCCAGACAGACAACTTGATGTAGACCCCATCTCAAAATAAAAAGGGCTGGGGGGCTGGGGATTTAGCTCAGTGGCACCTTGCCTACCTCACAAGTGCAAGGTCCTGAATTTGATCTCGGGCACTGAAAAAAAATAAAAAGGGCTTGGGAAGGCCAAGGTAGCTGGTTCACAAGTTCGAGCCCAGCATGAGAAACTTAGCAAGAGCCTGCCTCAAAAAGTATTTTTTAAAAAAGGCTGGGGATGTAGCTGTAGCATGCATGAGGTCCTGGGATTCATCCCCAGCAGCACATTAAAAGGCGGGGGGAGTAAAAGGCTTGTGTAGGCTCTGGAATATTCTCTGCCTTTATAGACTGTGGGTGTAGGCCACATATTTTGAGATGCATTGGATTGAGGTTATTTCTATTTAGAAACATTCTTTAGACTTCTTTTCAAAGTATGGTCGAGCAAATGGTACCATTCACACCAGCTGACAGCTCGCTAGGCTTAAAGCTCGGCCTTCTGAATCATTCTGCAGTTGAACAAGATCCCTGGGTGATTCATGTTCACATTAAAGTTCAAGAAACCTCAGGGTCCCTGGCCCAGCAGAAGACAGGAGTGGTTTCAATGATAACAAAGATTTCTCTCAGAGGAAAGCTGGACTAATGTCTGAAGGCAGCCTCTGCAGGTCTTGGAGGCCACTGTCATCATTCACTTCCCTCAGAACATGTAGCCTGGAGTGGATTTAGACATCTCAGGCCACTCAGGATGCAAATTTTCTTGACATCAATAGAATAATTCTTTGGATTCCTATGACTTGGTTTTTGCTCCTTTCACAAAATGATGGGTTTTCATTTATAAGACTGTGAGTCAGCCAGTGGGAATAATAAGGATGCTGTTATGGACGGCAGTATTTAGTTCAATTTTGACTGTGGAAATTTCTCTTACTTCTCCTCTTTATTCCCTGTGGTAATTTCAAAATATGTGATTATTAAACTAGTAATAATTGAAAGATCATTGTACTTTTCTAGAAAAGGATAATTAGGAGGAACTAGACTGAACACTGATTCCCTATTTAAGCCAGAGATGTGAAGACAGAGTTGGCCCCATTACTACTTTTTTTTTTAAAGGTTTGCACATGTCTGTGGCGGGTCTTGGGTGGGAAACACAAAACTATTATTTTGATTTCTATACAGGAATGATTTTAATGGTGCCAGTGTACTTTTGTTGTTGTTTTAATTATGCTGTTCCTTTTGAAACTAGAATTTTGAGCTCAGGATATTGAGAGTTAATATGTTAGAATAACTTCCAGCCCAAATTATATAGCTACATTAGGTGTTTTGATGTGATAAAGTATTTGATGCTTTTTTCCTGATTTTATGAGCAAACAATTTAAGAACAACTTTTTCTGTTCCTTGTGGAAGCTTATAGACAACTAGTTGAAACTAGATAGTAACTCACCTAGTTTTGTAACCTTTGGTTAATAATAATTTGACTGGGAAAACTAAAGAGCTGAAATCCTTACAAGGGAAATGGAAGTATTTTTCTTTTTGGTTCTTTGTTCAGTTTCTTTAGAATATGAGGCTTAAGAAAACCTTAGGGATTACACTCATGTCTTTGAGGTAGAAAATTTAATTTCCGTAAATATTTAATCTCTGTTCTGAAGTGGACACTGTTCTGAAGGGTAATATTTCTACCCTTGTTTATTTTACAGTTAACTTTGAAATGCAGAGATATAATTTACCATAAGAACATAAGCAGTGGGAGTTAGAAATCTTGGATTTTATTCCCAGTTTTGCCATTGACTAACAAATTACATCATTTCCTGTGTTTCAGGTCTTTGGTAAGTGGAAATAATAATACTCACTGCCCACTTTAGAGGATGTGTAAGAGCTAATGCTGTCAGCTAAATCTCTTTATGATCGCGGATAGGGAAAATCTGAGGGAAACTTGCGACAGTGCCCAGATTTATGTAGCAGTTTCTCACTTTATAATCCCAACATCTCTATGAAATAGGTAGAGACAAGTAACACTATCCTCATATAATTAACAAAAAAAATGAAGACATACTATCAAGTGATTTGCCTGGTTGGAGCCAGGACTAGAATTGAGTTTCCTGCAGACTGGTGTAGGATTAAGAGAATGGGTTCCAGAATTAGACCACAGTTAGAGCCTTATTCCTCACTGTTACTGAACTTTTAGGAAACTTGAAGTTCCTTCACTGTAAAATTGAGATCTTGATAAACCCAGCTTATAGGGAATCCAGAGGATTAAATGAAATCATGTCCATAAATTGCTTAGCACACTGCTTGCCACATGAGAAGAGCTAGATAAATGTTAGTGATGACTTATATTATTACTGATTAGAGGTACAGCTGTTTGAGTAGAATGTAACTGGGCTCCAGTCTGGGTTTTGAGCCAGACCTGAATTGATTTTCATTCTATCACACATATTGGCCTTGTGGCCACAGACCAATCACTTACCTTTTCTGAGCCTCTGTGTCCTCCACTGTCAAAAACAACTTCTCCCCCAGTACCAAAAAAACAAAAACAACAACAACAACAACAGCAAAAACTTCTCAAGGCTGTCCTGAGGATTAAATAAAAGGTGTGTGTGTATGTGCGCGTGCATGAGCGTATGTATGCACAGTATTTGACATATATGTGCTTAATGTTTGAACCATGGAAATCACTCCATTTTCTCTGGTTTTTGGGCTTTTGTTTTCATTATGAATATTTCTTTTCTGGGAGACATTTGGTTTATCTTCTCAAAAGAAGTCTCAAGTGGTTGTTTCAGTAGCACAAGCACTAAGATGAGAGATTAGCATGGCACCCTGTTAGAGTGACACAAATTCACTAAGTGTTCCATTTTGTTTTGTTTTTTGTCTTTTGGGCTAGAGAGAATGGAGAGAGGAGTCAAATTCAGTAATTTTGTTTAATTAGTATGCAAACTAAGTCCCCCCAAAACTTACCAGTTAATCAGTAAAACACGAACTGGTTCAACATCAGAAAGTTACTGGTTGAGCTAGCAACTCTTGCCTCTTTTGAAAAGCTAACAAACAGTGACTTTATGGAGCCAGATGCCAAACATCTAAGGAGAGCTTTCCCACTTGCCAGTGAGTTACTTTTCCTGGCCAGGCAGGATGTCACCAGGATATGAAATATACAGAAAGGCTTACCCATAAGATTTTTGTGTATACAGTAATGTGGCTGCTCTGTGGTCTCCTTGCCATTACATAAATAAAAGGGCCTTGGGTTAGTGCTGACTTTGGGGGCCTGCTGGTAGCCCCTGAAATTTATGTACAGTGGGAATTAATGAGCAAGAAAAAGTTTTCCAGAATGTGGATGGGAGAAGAAATGAAAGAAAATTACCATTTAAAGATAGCCAGGTGTGGTGGCGCCTGGCTGTAATCCTAGCACTCAGGAGGCTGAGGCAGGAGGATCACCAGACTTCAAGGCCAGCCTGAACTATGCAGTGGTATGCTGTCTCTAAATAAATAAAGATAGAGAGTGGAAAGAAATTAGATGTAAGAAGGCGAGACAAGGTACCTTGCCTAGCACAACACTCAGAGATGTGTTCTAGAGTTGTGACTAGTCCATGCAGGGCTGTGAACTGTAGAGCCCAGTCTATAATGAAATTTAAAAAGAAGGAGAATTCAGTTTGGAACTATCATAGTGCATGAGAATAGGTAATAGATCTTCTGTGCATTGGATACCAGTCATAATTGATCTACAGACATCTTAGTATCCTTGTAATAACTCCAAAGATAGGAAGTTCATTCTCATTAACAGATAGGATGGCTGAAACTTAAAGAGCAACTTACCTGTAACCCCACACCTCATGAATAGGGCTCAGGATTCAAGGTTAGGACAGACTTCATAACTTTGGCATTGGTACTCTATATCCTTCAAATGTCCTTAAAGAGGGTGGGGGTTTAGCTCAGTGGTGCCACTGCCTGCCTCGCAAGTGCAGGGTCCCAATTTCAATCCCTGGTAACAAAAACAAAAACAGATGTCCTTAAAGAAAACCCTCTAACCTGGTGTGTAGTTCCCTTCTACATCCTAAAGAGGCATATGGTTGAAGACAGGTAATTCAGTGATGAACTGTCATTACCCCGTTCTAATACCACACAGCTCTTGGGTATGTGGCCTTTGTGTCCAACACTGGCTCCCTGAATCCATACTCTTTCTTACTTCTGTCCTGTTGTTTGTGCTTTCTGGTCTGGCTTTCTCTTCCTACTACTAGTGAATTCCCCTTTGGACCAGGTATCAGCTTTGTTCCCACATGCCCCAAGGCCAGTCTTTGTGCTCCCAGAGCATTTTGTGTACATGTCTATCATCGAACCTGCTACACGTTGAATACACCTTGAACTGCAGCAGCGTGTCTGTCTGTGGCTTCCCCAACGGGGGCAGGAAATGGGTCTTGACCAAGTATCGGCCAGTATCTTTCACATAGGCACCCACTTGTTGAGTATTTCTGACTAAAGACAATGCTGACTTTTTTCCATTCATTTGAATTTATGTTTGCTAATTAAGAATTTACATGTTTTTAGAATTCTTGTACTTTGGTGTTTTCTTGGTCGATTATCTGTTTCCCAGATTTCATTTCCTTAGATCAGTTAGTGGAACTTTTTTGAAGTATACTTAATTTGGTAGCCAGTTAGCTTTTTTAACTTTTAAAAACTAGTAAATTAATTAATTAATT